CTTGAATGCTGGCAAAAAAAGCTTGGCTATGGAGCAAAGGCAAATGTCAAGCTTTGGGTGTACAAATAATCCACTATGAAGCAAAATGTTAACTTATATTGATAACCGTGCTTTTAATATTGGGTAATTTTTTTTACAGAAATTCAAATAGATACTTTTTTTACGACTAAATATGTAAAACCTTAAACAAATTTCATCGTCGTTTCATTAAGTAGTTTCTTCTTCTCTTACTGAAGAACACTGTGGGCATCAATTTGAGATTCTGTTTTAAGCACTAAAGTTATTCATATTTGTGTTTGAAAGCTCACAGAATAACATTTTCGCATTTAAATTTCATTTTTAATGAAAGTCCTTATAAAATTTAAAGTTGCTGTGTAAGGTTAAGTAAAGAAAGTGTATTCATATTTGTATTAATATGTACTATGTATATATAAGTATCTAAATAATGCCGGGATAGCCTGGTTGGTAGGGTGATGGGCCCATGTCCGACAAATCGTGAGTTCGATCCTCGCCAGCCTAAGATTCCCCGTGTAGTAAACGATGAAGGGTGCACTTTAAATCTTTCGAGTCACAAAGCCCTCCGTGTTCCCATAACAAATCAATACTTCTAGGGTACTGAATTAGGGATTGATCAGGTCAAGATCTATGTTTCTGGTCAAAATTACGATCAGTGGGTGAAGGAATGGATGCATGAATGGGTCCGCCCTATAAATGGGCAGTGAAGTGTGTGTGGCTGAAGTCGCATTCTTGGATATAGATGGTGCTACTGAAAAACAAGAAATGCATCATCTGCTTTAAATTCACTTGGTTTCACCAAGCAGGCTTGCTTATATTGGCAAGTGGCATTAGAAACAACATTAAAATAAAAAAAAATTCGTAATATTACCTGCTCAAGAAACTGTTCTCTCACAGGTTTTCAATAATTAGCTCCGGCTAAAAATAGCCTTCCTTCTTCAGAACCTAGAATTGGTGATATGTTACGCTTTTCGGTTTTATGAGCAGGTTTCGAAGGATAATCGTTTTCAAAATAATCATTTTGTCTTCCGTGGATTTCGTCAGATGGCCGTGAACTGTATCGCTTTCTTGATCCAATCTTTGGTCTTTTAACAGAAGTTTTTGGATACGAGGACACTGGCGAAGAGGTTTTTGTGTTTCGACTAGATACGGGCGAGTTTTGGGATTTTGATGCGGCGCTTAAGGATCTACTACGGTATTTCTTTGGCAAATTTGACGCCGTTTTAGGAAAAACGTCTAGGGAAGATCTCCGATGGTACGTTGGTCCGGGAGCTATATTGGGAAAAGCTGAATTACGAAAAGAAGGTATCAGAATTTATTGGTTTAAAATATTCTGAATTCGAGTATATTTCCGGAGACGGTGCCTTATAATGACTAGGATTTGAATATGCATCAGGGTTCGGTGCCTTATAAAAATCAGGTTCTGAATATTCATCAGAATTTTGAGGCTTATAATATTCTGGTTTAGAATATGTATCAGGAGTTGGTACTTTATGATAATATTGTCTAGAGTATGTATCAGGGTTTGATACTTTATAATTATTCGGCTCTGAGTGTGCATCAGGATTCTTATATCAGGACTTATAATAATCAGACATTGAGTAAGCGTTTGGATTTGATGATTTGAAGTAAGCAGGCTAATATAAATCTGCGGTAGATCTATAAAATTCCGATTTTATGCAAGAATCTGGTTTTGAAGATTTGTAAGAATCTTCTTTTGCGTATTCTTCCTTTTTTGATGATTTATAATACTCAGAATTGGAATATGGTTCCGGAATTAGGGCTTATAATGCTCAGATTTAGTATCAACATAAGGTAGATCCAAATTTGAAGAACTCTTAGGTATTCTTTACAAAACTTCTTGGATCATTCATGTCATAGCCGCCACTAGAAAAACCTCTTTTAGGAGTAAATTCCGCACTGCTATCAAAACCGAAATTTCTTGCTCTTTTTGAATAATCTAGATTGCGAAATGTTGGGAAGATGATATCATAATTTGTTTGTTTGTAAAAAATTTTAATATCAGGAGAAGGTCGTGGCACATAAAAATCTGAAGCAGACGCGCCAGCTTGTACCTCATCCTTCGAATCTGGTTTGAATTTCAAGGGTCGTAAGTTCGGAAAGGCATTTTCGGCTTTTTTGGCTGAATCGTCGCAATATTCATCTCTTTTTTCACTGCTACCTCTCGGGAGAGCACTTAGAACTTAGTACTATACAGAATAACTGAAATTAAAGAGTAAAGAAAGGTTACAGTGTACTGTTTTTCCTACTTTTAAAAGGAAAAAAAAAGGAAAAATAAGAATATAACCTGCTTTGGCTAATGTAGATTTGTCCTTTCTAAAAGTTTTTGGATGTATTCATCTCAAATGGAATGTACTCATCTGAAAAACATCTTTATAATCAATTGATTTTTGAGAAAACTTAATCATCATTTTATTACTTTCATTAGGAAGTATCGCTTCCTGCTCCTACCGCTCGCCAACCCCCACGATTGATTTGCAAACATAATGTATTCAATCACAATGCATTGATTTGTAATCGATAACTTTCTTGGCGATAAACGGATTTATAAATTAAAACTAAAAAATTATTCAACAAAAAGATTCTAATTTTTTTAAATTTATTAATTTTTTTAAACACATATTTGGTTTATGATTTTATTGGGATAAAATCGGAAGCTATTTAGTTTGCTTTGGTTATCATTAGAACTTCATCTAGTTACTTCTTAGAAAATTTTTGCTAACTAGGAGGCTTCGCCCCCTGCTCGCTGGCGCTCACCAACCCCCGGAACTGCTTTCGCAGTTCATAAAAGATATTTGAATTATGAGC